GTGAGATGTATCCTATGTGAGGAAGTAAAACTCATCCTTAACTGCACATGCATGTACATCCAATCTTGCATAAAGTACAAAGTATTATATATGGAAAAGAAGCAAAGGAAAACAGAGGAAAGTCTGGGTTACAACATATGCATATAAAATATTGATTTGGGCTTGATTAAGGGCCTCAAATAATTCTTAGCTTTTGTGAAACGTTGTTGAGGCTATTTTACTAAATAACCTTGAGGATTTTAGCTTCCAATTTACCTGTTTATGTGTTTATGTCAAGGGATGAGAGATTCTTCCAGAGCCCAATCTCCTTCCTAACATGTCATGTAAGAGAAACCCTAAAAGCAAAGACTTAAGACAATTTTTTTTCTATTTAGAGGTTTTATTCTTATATAAACATTTTTCTAATATAATATTACTCTCTGAAATCTCCAGGAAAAATACTTGAGAGTTCAATGAGAGCAGACTTGAAATATTACTTTGGTTTAGGCATCCCCAAGTATATTTTTGTTGCATTGTTTTAAAATCCTAGATAGTTTTAAAAACTGATGTCCATACATATAGTGCAGATGATTAATGATTTCTTTTATTCTTTCTGTCTAAAGCTAAATGGTGTGGTTGAGTTTTAGGCTGTCTTACTGTTCTAGGTTTTTGTAATGAAGCAACTTCACATAATTTCATAAGTAGACATTCTGGCCACACTTTAAAGGATAACTGGCTCAGAACAACAAAAAACCCACAAAAACCCAACGATATTGAGCATTTTGTGTACTTGTTCTCTGCAAAGAACACTACATATTAGCCTTTTGGTTTTAATAAAAGCTCTCTATTGCTTCTTCCTTTTCTCAAAACTTCAGAATGAAATGGCAGAAGTCTCTTTCCTTCTCTTGGTTTTCTAGATGTGAGATTTACAAAAGTAGTAAGCTACTACAAAAAGTAAGTCTGCGACAGTTCTGCAACAAAAACTGCTTTTCTATTTGGAAATATTTTGCAATGGTGTCTACAGCACTTTTAATGTTACATACTTCCACAAAAAGCTTCAGGGACACAGAAACTGACCCCCTTTGGGATGAAAATTCTATGAGGTATTGCATAGAAGGCCATCCTGTTTAGATATGTCCCTAGTTACAACAATCTCATGCTCAGGTTTACAGTGATCAACACTAAATCAGTCACTTCTACTGCCACCCACACTTCAGCATTGTTGACACCCTGCTCATGTCTGACACAGAAACTGATGGCACTGCTAATGATGTTCTTCCCTTGACTGAAATGCAGAGCTTTTTTTACATCCTCCTAAGATCACCAAGATCAATGTGGGGATGTGATTTTTGTTTAACAATGTGTAAGGAAAGTTTTGAATGGGGGCATACATTGGACCACCATGATAATATTAAAAGGTCTAGAAGTTAAATACGGCTTCAGGAGTAAAAGCTTCCCTGCAGTGTTTCTCCACTAGAAAGACTGAATAGCGCTTTCTTTTTGTTTGTTATTTAACAGCCTCACAGAGTAATGCTAGGTAGCTTTTGGTCTACCTTAGAAGCAAGACAGTGCTCAGTAGAGAGGTGAAGCTCATCAGGTTTTGTAATTGGTGCAATCCTTTAATCTTAGTTCCTTCTAGTAACTTGTTTTCTGGTAAATCAGTCCAAGTGATTAATATTTATTCTTTGATCTTGGCATAGGTCCAGATCTAAATGAATACTGATTTCATTGCTTTTGCTCATTTTCTATTATCTTCACTCAGTCACCACCATCTGTTTACATGACTGTCATTTGCAGGCTCATAAGAATAATAAACCAAATCCATTCATGTAAGAAGCCAGGGTGCCAGCATGTGTTTATGAATGTGACTTTGCTCACTCTTGAGCATACTCTTAATTTCTTGTGTGCCTAGCTCTTTGTTCAACTCTGCAACACTCAAGAATGACAGCCCCAGTAATGACCCAACTTTGTCCACTTTAAGTTTTGGGGTACCAAGACTACTGAGGAAGTCACTGTTTTCTTCTTTTTGTTCCTAGCCTTTTGCTCCTGGATCACATGAGTTAACAATTAAGATGAATAGGTACTAATGCTGTTCATGTGGTTTTGTTCACGTATTTTTGCTCTATTTTTTTTCTCAAATAACGTTCTCATTGCAACCCTAGGTTGCCACTGTTGAAGGAGGAAAATGGCAGTAGAAGAAAGAAATCACATCATCTTCTATTCCCTTTGAATAATATGCATCAACTTTAAGTTGAAAATAACTTTTTATTTAAACACTGCAATACAGATTATGTCAAAAACATCTTGGAAGAAATCGGAAGCTTCCTATATACTGCATAAATTTTTTTTTACGTATTATAAAATGTCTCATTTGCTAAAGAGAAAAAATTGTTTGCATGCAGAAGGGATTTTGGAATGTGGAGTATACAGGGATGATTCGTATCAGCAACTTAGAAGTCCTTGTGACCATTGTACCATGTGTGGAGAATATAGGAATGATTCTTATTATGATAGATGTTCCTGCCAATACAATGATGAAAGGGAAGAGGAGACAAAGGAATAATCCCTCTTACTCAACCACTTCACTGTCAAAAAGAGCTTTGTTTAACTGCTTGAATGCCTTTAGGGGGTTTGATAATCAAGAGATACACCCTGTTACAGGATATTGTGAAACTTGGGTACTAGGCAAATAGCCATATAAGGTATAGAACAAAATGCTAAGTCTGCAGCTAAGCTTGTAAGCGTTTTTCTGTTAATACGTTACCAAGAAGTTCAGCAACGTCTTCGCCGGAGAAAGACCCCAGCAACAAGAAAAGAACAATGGAAATGAGCCACATTGACCTCTGGGTAAAAGAGATGACAGACTGGCTGAAACCCAAGACCAAGAAGTATAAGAGACTATACCCCAAAGATCCCAGTATGCATCTTTGGTGGAGCGGAGACTCCCTTGCGCACCCAACGCTGCTTGCTTATTGCCTCTCAATATTAATCAACTGTAATAAAATAATTGAATTAGACCATGGCTGAGATGAAGTTTTTATAACAGGAAGAATGTCCTTGCCTGAGTAATATATTCTCTACTTATATTTTTATTGCATTTAAAATAGTATAAGTTGATTTTGGACAAAATCTAACCTGACTTCATCAAATATACTTGACTTCTGCAAAACCTGGTAAGTAAAAGAATTCCCCTGTATCATATTTTATTTTTAACTTTCTCTGATGAATAACCTGCTACGGTACTGTAAAAAAATTTTAAAGTGCCCTTAATTTTTATTTGCTTTCCTAATCACCTTTGAAAAACTGAAGATTACATGTATTTCCATACCCAAAACGTTTTCTGTTTGTGTAACATATGCTCTGCTTTGCTGCTATGACTAAGCTACCGACCTCTTATTTTAGTAAAATTGTACTGAGGATTTTCTACTGAAAGATAAAACATGTATAAGGGAGTCCATAACTTTAAAAAGAAGTGTATATATATATATTTTTTATGAGGTAGATCAAAACTTTGAGACTCACTCTAGTACAGAGGCTGCAGCTAAGCTTTAATCAAAATAAAACCAAACCAGCACATTTACTGAACAAGTCTGAGTACTTGTATTTGACATACAACAAAGACTACTTTTGAATGTATGTTATGAAATGCCAAATAAATAAAGATGCTTCCTGACACTGAAATGAACCTTATTTTTGCCTAAGGCGGCAGTACACAAACTGCCTTGTTGCTTGAAAAACCAATCACACAAACATCAAAAATAAGCAACCAAAGCCTAAATGTAACACAACAATACAAACTTGTGATGGACTACATTAGCAGTCCACACTAATTAACTTCTTACATAATTCACATCTATGCATGTAATTACCTAAGGATTTCTGATTTTAAAAGCTGCCTGCTCTTGACTTTTACCTTTCATGTTTTTTCCTATAGCGACCTTTCCACTCCTAACTGTAAACTGCCATCTGTCTTGCCTTTAAAAAAAAAAAAGGAAAATACCCCCTGCAGACAAAACACCTTTGCTTTGATTTTAGTGACGTTTTGTCCTGCTCTCTAAATGGCTATTCTAGAGGTTTGTCTACTGATTAAGAAAAAATGAAAGGCATCTTTCAGTGTGCTTTGAAAAAACTGAGGCAGAGGAATGTCAGATGAACTTCCTGCCTTTCCAAAGACACTATCTCATGCTCCCTTACTGGCAATATCACAGCAGAAGGCTACCAGGAATAAAAAAAAATATGGCAGACATTCATTCCTTGCCTATTTACAGGAAATATGTTGTCCCTGTTACATGTGCTGTGACTGTCATAAAAAAATACTGGTTTACACTGTTCTGGTGTTTCTAAAACACAATTGGGACTGCCATACCACAGATAAAATGTCAAAATCAGGATGATGTTACCTACCTTCACCTTATCAAAATGATTATATTCTTCATTGTAGATGTACCAAAGACCTGTGGAAGCGCCTATTAACCCTCAAAATACGTTTTCCTGAGGAATGTGGACCTACTAACTTGCATTCCCCACTTTCTCAGCTACCGCCTACTCTTCACGGCTTTTTTTCCCTCCCTTCATCAGACTTTCCTTAAAGAAGAGCTTAAATGAAATAAACTACGATACAGATGAGGTGTGCACGCCTGTCAGTTTTGTACGGCTCCGAGAGGCCTGCTCCCCTCCTCTCCAACGGGGCTCTCAACGAGCCTGAGTCCGCCGCCGGGCTGAAAGAGGAGGCGTTCGCCCTGTCCGAACTCCATTGCCTCACCTTCCCCAGCGTTCGCCTTGTCCGGACTCCAGTGCCGCCCCTTCCCCGGTGCCCTCGCTACTAGCCACCCCAGCCGCAGGCCTGCGGGGCTGGGGCGCGCCCAGCCTAGCTCCCTAACCCGAGCCTCTCTCGCGCGGCCGCGATGACGCCCCCTGCCGAACGCCGCGGGGCGCGCCTCCTTCAGTCGCCGTTGGGCGCCCGCGCTGACGGCTGTACCGCCTCCCGGTTCACGCCCGTGCCGGTCGGTGGCAGGAGGCAGGAGGCAGGGGGAGCCCGGGAGCAGCGGCAGCCCAGCCTGGCGGGCAGCGAGCCCGGCAGACAGGCGGGGTCCCTAGCCCGGCCGCGCTGACGTCAGGAAACTTTCTCCGCTGCTGAGGCAGGAGCGGGCGCTGTGTACCGGCGCGGCGGGACGACCTCCATCACCTCGTCAGGTACCGCGGCCCCGAGGGCAGCCTGCATGCGCGGCACAGTCCGAAGGCTCCTCACTGTCCCTCCCGGGGCCGAGGGCATCCGGGTTCACCGATGGGTCCCGCGGTGCGGTTGGCGAGAGACAGCGGCCAGGGAGGTGCGGGCGCCTGTTGATTGCTGCGGCAGCAGGGCTGTCCCGGGCTCAGCCGCTGCCCGACGCAGCAAACTTCCCAGACGACGGGTGAACGGGCGAGGCGGGCGGGCCGGGCGGCGGGAGCAAGGAGGGGTGTCGGCGTGAGTAACGGGGCTTGCTCCCGGGATCGAGGGGAGCCTCCCTGCTCTTCACGGCTGGTGTGCGGGACAGGTCTCAGCGCGGGAGGCGGCCGTACACCTGCGGTAGTTAGGCGAGCGGTGCGGAACTTGCGGTGCGCGCAGCTTGCGTAGGCTTTTTTCTCCAACTTGGAAACCGCAAGGACTTGGGGATTTTAAGCATGCGCTATGCCATGGGTGAGAGTTTTTTGAAATTCAAGTAGCTGAAAATAATCAAATGCCCTTTATTCCGCTTTTTATATTCCCCCCCCCCCCGCTCCGTACAGTAAAGCCATTATCTGAGACAAGGTTTTGTTTTTCTTCTGAGGGCTTTGCCGTGGCAGCTCGGTGGTGCTAGGAGGCGAGCCGAGCTCGCCGCTGAAGGCTGATGAACGCACGATTGTTTCACAAAGGAGGATCTTCAGCTCGTAGCCAAACCCAAACCACCAAGTTAATTTTAACTCCATGAAGCACCCGGGTGTTGGAAGGGTGGAGTACGGGAGTAGTTTGTCGGATCGTCATGTGGATAGAAAACTGAAATCAGAGAAAGGACTGCAGCATTTGGCTGAGAAATTCTTAGCTTAAGAGGGTGTGAAAGTTGTATGGTGGTTCTCTGGAGGAATATGGAAAAGTATGTGCCTCATTTATTTGCACCATCCTTCTGATTTATTGAAAGGCATCGAGAGTTAATCAAAAGCCCGTAAAGGTTAATTGTATTTTTCATCCAAAGCAATTTGGGCCCTTTCAAAGATCTGGATTTTTGGTGTCTTTTTTGAACTTAAGACAGTCATTACATTTCTAATTTAAATACCATGCAACTTTCACGTTTTTAATTTAATGTTCCTACAGTTACGTTGCAGGTTTTTAAAAAGTCATATTTATGTAGATGTAACTCAAAATGAGTTTATGTAACTACTAAACAGGAAAGCAAGTCATACATGAAGGTGATGATGAAGGTGCTTTGAATGCACATATACAATGTTTTAGCAGTATGTTAGATCTACTCAGTATAAATATAAATAAGCATCCTTTTTACATTTTATGTGGATAACTAAGAGCCTGTCCTTTTAGAAATACTTTTGTCTTTTTTTTGCGATATTTTTTCCCTTACATATTAGGCTAACATAACTTCAGTCGTACCTTTCAGTTTTTGTAGCGATAAATAATGCTTGGAATCTTAAGACCTCTCCTGCTTCCGATGATAATCAAAATAAGAAAAAATTATTCACCCGAGGGGAAAAAAAAATGTTTTGAAAGGTCAAGCTCCTATTATTATGGCAATTTCAGAACAAACAGTAAACTTTGCCTCATAATTATAGATTTGCTTGATCGATTTGTTGTGTACTGGCCTGTCAGGGACAACCTCTGATGTTTGGAGATTATCCACGTGTATTTGGGGAAAGGAACAGCAAACTAGTGAAGGGGAAAAAGGTCACGATTATTAGCCTTATGCTTTTTGATACACATTTTATTTTTAAGTGTATAGATGTGTTAGTGATTATAGGTCTTCTTTAACGGCATATATTAACTTGAAGAGGTTGAATAAAGAGTGATCTATGGATTAAAAACCTAGGGGTTGTGGCACAGTGTGGAAGGGTACAAGGGAACAGTGTGGTCTGTGCTTTTGGCAGAGCTACAGTGGCAGGGATATCAGCGGAAAGAGACTGAAAATAAGCTAAAGCAAGTACAATCTAAATGCCTTAGAAGTAAGGATGACAGTCTTAAAAGTGATCCAGCTAGCACTGGGTGCGTCTTGCAAGTGATAAGTACAGAAATTAACATTATTTTGATGCCAGAAAAGCAAAGGAGACAGTGCTAGGTTGTGACAGAGCTAGAACTGCAACTCTGTGTTCATAGAATCATAGAATCGTATAATAATAGAATAGTTAGGGTTGGAAAGGACCTTAAGATCATCTAGTTCCAACCCCCCTGCCATGGGCAGGGACCCCTCACACTAAATCATGACACCCAAGGCCTCATCCAACCTGGTCTTGAACACTGCCAGGGATGGAGCATTCACAACCTCCCTGGGCAACCTATTCCAGTGCCTCACCACCCTAACAGGAAAGAATTTCTTCCTTATATCCAATCTAAACTTCCCCTGTTTTAAGTTTTAACCTGTTACACCTTGTCCTGTCACTACAGTCCCTAATGAATAGTCCCTTCCCAGCATCCCCATAGGCCCCCTTCAGATACTGGAAGGCTGCTGTGAGGTCTCCACGCAGCCTTTTCTTTTCCAGGCTGAACAGCCCCAACTTTCTCAGCCTGTCTTCATACGGGATTTGCTCCAGTCCCCTGATCATCCTCGTGGCCCTTCTCTGGACTTGTTCCAACAGTTCCATGTCCTTTTTATGTTGAGGACACCAGAACTGCACCCAATACTCATGGTGAGGTCTCACAATAGCGGAGTAAAGAGGCAGGATCACCTCCCTCAACCTGCTGGTCATGATCCTTTTGATGCAGCCCAGGCATTTTAAATTGCATGGGAAAACACAAAACTGACAGTAGAGGACCAGAAAGGAGGAAGATGTGGGTAACAAGAGTGGATGGGAGTGTTTGTTAAACATCTGTCAGTTCGTACTGCCTCATTAGTTTTTGGCAGAAGTTTTGTAATTTTCTTGAGGTCTTCTGAGAGTTCAAAGATTGAGCATCTGCTGTTCTATATTCACCTCATCCTAGAAACAGAATTGTTTTGGTTGGAAAAGACCTTTCAGATCATTGAGTCCAACTATTAACCTAACACTGCCACTAAGTATACCACTAAATTATTTACCTCCAGGGATGGTGCCTCAACCACTTCCTGGACATCCTGTTCCAATGGTTGACAATCCTTTCTGTGAGGAAATTTTTCCAGATATCCATTTTAAACATCCCCAGGTACAACTTGAGACCATTTCCTCTTGCCCTAGTAATTGTTACTTGGCAGAAGAGACTGACACCCACCTCCTTAACAACCTCAGGTAGTTACAGAGAATAGATGTGATATCTCAGAGTGTTCTTTACAAGCTCATTATGATAATTTGTTAGTCTCTTGCCTCTAGGCAAGGTCACCTTGTATGGTTCAATAGCAGTGTGTCTGCATGGGTGGGTCATACAGCATTTGTAAATATTACTGGGTGCTTTAGTAATCATAATAAGCATGAAGAACTTGAGTGGTGAAATACAATAAACTGGCATTTGTATGATGATTATAAAATCAGTTTCTCTCTAGAGATAATCCCTCAAGCATATTGCTTGAACATGTCATAAGAAAATAATTAAAGGCAGACTTCTACTTGAACTGGAGGACTCGCATAGTTTGAAACAGAGCAAGAAATGAACTACTCTATCCTTTATTTGTTCACACTTGTGGCAGGATTCTAATTCTGTCATTTTTTTTTTTTTTATATAAGAGAGTAAGTAAGGCACTGGGAGCTGAAAAGCCCACCAGGTTCACTTGACAAAAATCACTGCACCCCTAGAATTTTCAGTTATTGTCAGTGGTGAAATGCATGGCAGAAGTTGAGGCTGTGTTTCAAGTAGCTCTTGAAACAAAAATTCCTCAATTAATGACTTAACAAAATTGTTATATAAGAATATGCTAATTGGGCACAAAAAACTGTAACATTTTTTCCCCAGGCCCTTTTTTGCTTGTCATCTGATTTTTGAAGGCATAAACTCCTTTAGAGAATCAGGGTGTATTCCAGAGAAGAATGAACAATGATGTCCCTGCGAGAACACATAGTGGCTCTGCACAGCAACCGAACAAAGTTCTCTTCAGGTCCCTTGCCTTCAGTATGCAACTTTTCATATAGATAACATTTATTAATATTCTTGTTCCCAATGGAAGTCGGTTCCTTCCTGGTATGTCCTAAATCCCTGAGATCAGCCCCTTACTTTTTTCATGCAGTTAGTATTAACTGCTCTACTGCTAGTGCTTCGCTGAAGGTGCCTCATTACTTAAATGCTACATGAAACTGTTTTGTAGATTTGCTGTTGTAGAATAGCCAACTGTTACCACTTAGTATGTTGGCTTTATCTGGATTTACACTTATGGCCCATGCTGGACAGGGGCAGGAGGAGGGAGGTATGTTTACTAAATTACTTGTCACCTTGTGGTCTGTCCTGAAGGCATATATACCTGTGACCTAGCAGGAATAGCAGAATGCAGTAGTAGGATTATAGTGAGTTACTGCCCACCTTTTAGTTTTAGATGTGCAAGTGTAGACCCTCTCTGTGCCATTTAATTTGCCCAGTGGCACTGAAAGAACTCTGAGAATGGTCAGTAGTAGCTCTTAAGTCTTAAAAATGCTTGCTATCTAGGCTGCAGCTCCATTCTATCTGTTAAGGAGAAGGTCATCTGAAATGCCTCCACTTGCTGTGTTGTTTCAAACCGTGTTTGTTACACTAAACATCAAGAGGAGGAAGTGGCATTACCACAAAGATTTCATCCAGGATTTCAGTAGAGAATTTATCCAGCTGGAAACCCACCATGAATTCCAATAGTAGAATCTACACTTTCATTCCTCCTCCCCTCTGCGAGTTTAAGCAGATGTTCTAATCACCAAGCTAAGAGGGTGCTCTGGATTAAAATAAAGTTTTCTTAGGTTGTGAGACAAGGAGGCACAAAAGCACAAAATGTAATCAGTTCTAAGCAATGTTAAGTTTGATGGCTTTGTAATGGAAAATAACTGTGGTGCTTGAAGGTAGTTGACATAGTTTCAGGTCCTTAGGACCTTAGTACAAAGAATGTAAGAAAAGCAGAAAAAACGGACCTGGGGATGGGGAGTATCTGGGACTAGCAGATGTCAGGGTGGGCACAGTTAAACTAACTGATAAGTAGAAGGACAGGATGATTGGTATGTTTGTGGTGTTAATAAAGCCATTAAGCTGGTGTAAACATCAATTGAGGAGTATCTGAGGCTAGCTGATGTCCAGGATGGGAGCAGTTATCAGTTTAAGTAGAAGGGCAGGATGATTGCTATGTCTGTAACGTTAATTAAGCTGGTTATGAAGATTGTTGGGAAAAGTAAACGACCCTTAAAGACCACCACATTTTTGTATGCATGCCGCAAACTGTTTGGAAAATGATGTAACATGCCCAGTGACCATATAAGGATGGCCTGTACAGCAGTACGGGGGGACACGTTAGGAGGAGCTATCCCCGTGTCTCCCGGCGCCGCAATAAAGAATACCTGCTTTTCTGTTTGCGAGTTTGT